AGAAAGAAAGAAAGAAAGAAAGAAAGAAAGAAAGAAAGAAAGAAAGAAAGACCGTGTACCACACTCCTAATCTTGTCTACTCGGGAGTCGTCTTCACCGACTTTTAAGCAAACTTATCTTTCACCCCAGAAACAGGCGTCCAAAATTAGCCTCCCAAACTCACGCCAGCTTATTCGCCGCCGTTTTACTGTTTCTTAATTTGCTTTACACGGTGGAAATAAGTAGACCGAAGTTGGACCAGTTGTTTGATTCGGGAAAGCGATCATCGAACGGTCGATTTGCATAAAGATCGAGTTTAGGGGCTTCCAGGGGTTGATTCTGGCTCTGTTGCTCTTTCAATTTTTAAGGCAAAAAGGGCGGTTTTTCAGCAACGCCAGGAACGGCGGGCGCTCGCCCCGAAGGCTGCTGCGGTCACCCAGTCCCCCCCCCCCCCGCGTTTGCCTACTTCTGGCGGAGTGGGAGCAAACGGCAGGATCCCAGGAATCCCCAAGGAATCCGTGTTTGACCTGCCAGAAAAACGCCACTGGACCCATTAGGAATCCTTTCTGGGGGAGTAAAACAGCCCCGGAGAAATCTCTTAAAACGAAGCCGACGAAGAGCCCCCAGCCCACCGTTTTCCCTTCCAGTCCGACGCGTTTGGCGAGGCCCGAGGCGCGAACCGGTACCTGGATGTCCTCGAGGCTGGGGTGAGCCAGAGCGTGGAGTCCCAGCGGCCCGTCGGCCAAGCCGTGCGCTCCATCGGCCAAGCCGTGGAGCAAGCGCGGCATGCCCGGGTAGTCCCTGCGCGGATCCAGGCCGAGAGCGCGGTGTGTCTGCGAAAGGAGGCCCGCCGCCGCCGCCGCTGCAGCAGCAGCAGCTTCTTCCTGGCGGGCCCGCTGCGAGGGCCAGCCGCTCTGCTGGTGCTGGTGGATGGGGTTGAGGCCGCCATAGGGGTCCCCCAGGTGCGGGTAGGCGCTCTCCTGGCTCTGCGCATAGGGCAGCGGCGGCTGCGGGTAAGGCGGCGGGAAGTAAGGAGGCTGGAAGTCCGAGGCCGGCGTGTGGCACAGAGGGGGAGCCGAGGAGTACGCCGCCGCCTGGTTGAGGGACGAGAGCTGGGGGAGGCGGCCGCCGGCGGAGGTCCCGTTCAGCCCATCCGAGCGGTCCTGGTGGGGGACATCAAAGGGAGAGAAAGGTCACCACGCAGCCAGCCGCGCTATGGGCGCGAGGCACCGGCTTATCCTCGCTCCAAGCAGCGCGCGTCGCTAGGGCTCCCGGTGGCGGCGGCTCCCTGAGGCCCCGGCTCGCAACACCTGAGCCTCAAGGCAAAGCGCAGCTTTCTCTACTACCCACTCCTCGCCTTCTTCCCCCACCCCGCCGGGCAGGCCAGCCAGCCAGCCGAAGAGCGCAACGCGCTTCGGGGCTCGGCGCGGCTCAACCTTCCTAAGGGCGAGCCTTTCGCTTCCTGCCCTCTTCCGTCTAAGGTGTCGCTGAAAAAGAGCCCTAAGCGCAACCGAGCAAAACAAAACGAGACACCGTTTGCGGTCTCGCCTCGCCTGCCTTGAAATCGCACTTTTGGCGACCGGCGCGCTTTGGGGGACCGCACCTGGAGTCCTTTGCCCCCTTTCTTGTTCTGCCTTCAGTAGGAGAGACCCGCAGAGACCCGCAGGCAGAAGACCCTTCCTCCATGTCCTGACACAGCCTAGGTTTTGCGAATAAGAGCGGTGGAAGGGATCCCGGCCTTTTCGGCCAACCTCTGTTCGTGGCAAATAATCCGATTTATCCCTCCAGAGTCTCTCCTTCGTTCCTTCGGCCCCCTTTTCTCTTTCCTCCCCCGTCCCGGTTTTGTGATCGATTCTTTGCGCTCTCCTCCTTCCCAACCTGGGGGTGGTGATGTTGAACCACCAGCTAGGTTACGGTTCCCAAGCCCCGACATCTGGGACCTATTAAAATACGAAGTCCTTCTGAATCTGAAGCTACGAGGGCGCTTCAATTAAAGTGGCGTTTCGAAGGATCCCTCCCGAGAGAGGAAAACTTCGTTCTCCTCTTCCTCGCTTCTTTCTTACAAACGCGTCCCCGCACACCCCAGGCACACCCGACCAAGGAACACCCGCCTAACTCACCATCGCGGAATACGTGTGCACCAACATCTGCGCGCTAGCCAAGCCCCCAGATCGCTTAGGGAAATGCCTCCAAACAGGGGGCGAGAGGGAACGAGGCTAGCAACCCCGACGGCTACCAGAATCTGCGCCCCGTTCCTGCACCCCCCTAGGAAAAGTATCCGTTAAAAGCAAGCGGCGAGCGGCGATGCGTCCATCGACGACTCTTCCAGCGCTATAGCCAAGCGAGCTCTGGACGGGCAGCGGCTCCTCCTTTTCAAAACCCCCCGACCTTTCCCCCTTCGAAGCCTGCGCTTGGCTCCCAGCTCTTCCTCCCTCTGAACTCAATACAACTCCATGGACTCCAGTTATACAGGCGGGGGCGCGCGCCGAGCGCCGGGAGCGCGCCTTAAAGAGACAGAGCCGATTTCAAAGCGAAAGCGCCAGTACGCCTGCCTTGTGGGGGAGGGCGGAAGGGCGCTCCCACTCCGCTGCCACGCGCGCCGGATTAGTCTCCGGGGTGCCCCCGAGGTGTGTGGCGCCTGCAGCCCCCACGATCCGCTCCGAAAGCAACCCAGGGGGAAAAAGGATCGACGGCCCGGTCTTCCTTCCCCTCAGAGCGCTGCGATGCGAGGCTGAGCTTCTTTATTTTGCCAATCGATTTGGGACGCAGGATCCAAGGAGGGAGTTGCAAACAGGAAGGCGTAGATTGCTGCGACCTTCTCTCGGGTAAACCCGCCGGGCTCCCAGCAGCAGGGGGAACGAAAGGAAGCTTCCTGACTACCCGCTTAAACGGGAACGCGAAGGAAGGATTTATTGGTCTGCTTTGGCTGTAAATCCCCAGTGGCGGAGAATTGCCCGCAGATTTCTTTTGCTGGGGTAGCAATTTTTTTTAAAAAGCCAAGGAACAAACCTGCCTCCCTGCATTTAGCAGGAGTGCTTCCTTCCTTGCCTAGACCCTACGCACCTGCAATTCCCCCCCCCCCGCCCCCCCCCCCCCCCCC